AATTCTATATTTTCATACAAGAAGATATCACACACACACACACACACACACACACACACACACACAAATTATCACATTACAATGAGCTATTTTTCTTAAAACACAATAAATGAGAAAACAACAAGTTGCTAAGTTTTATATCGACATCTATATCAATTATATATTTGTTTTTTCTGTTAATTAATATTGCACATTATTTAAACTTATAAATATTAAACACATTTTAAAAATGTAGGTGTAATTTGTATGTAATACATAGTATCCCATGGTTTATCCGTTAAACTGCAGGAGCATATTCTATAAATGGAAATAAAGAAAAAAATATATGAAGTTTGGCTATAGGAATGCTTTATTACAAAATTATAAGCAAATATTGAAACGGAACATAAAATAGGTAACCACGGATTTTTATGCAAAATATATCGTGTTTAGTGCAAAATATGAAATTTCGAACATGTTTATCTTATCTGGGAATTCATATCATGTTTACTATTTTTAAAAAATTCAGTATGATTATTTTTACATCAATAGCTATCAGATTTCAATCATTGTGTGAACTAGTAACTATCATCAAAATGCCAAGAGTGTTTTTAAATGAGGAATACACTGATATACACTGATTCTGCACAATGGAAAATCCGTTGTTACCTATTTCATGTTCCATCACGCAGGCAGCTCAGTTCGAAGCAATCAACCGTCACCGAAAGGAATGCTGTCCCGAATCACCGCTAGACACTAACGATAAGCCCGTCACCGCGTACAGCCGAGACGAGTGCTGTTGGCGTTGCAAGCAGAGAGGACATACCCGCCAAGACTGTAAGTGTCCACCCAAAAAGTTTTGCTCGCGCTGCGGAAAAGACAATGTGCTATCTCGTGACTGCCATCCGCCGAAGGAAAATGCAAAACGGGCCAGGAACGTCAGGCCATCGCCTGATTCTATATAATCTACAACCCCCAACCGCACATCTCCAAGTCCGGATCCTGCAGCCATCTGGGCCCTACTGAATTTTGGTACTGCGTGCCCGTGCGCCACTCCTTATAAATACTATAGCTATAAGAGTCGCATTTTGTATATACCGTGACCTTTAAGCGTATCCGCGACCACAGCACCTTGTATATGACAGTCTGTATGTTTACTGAGGAATAAACCAAGTGTTAAACCAGACCAGGGCATAGCAACCGGATTTCTCTTCTCCCGAATCCTAGCATCGACGAGCTCATTCGCGGTATCAGGAATGGTGTACCGTTACAATATAATAATTCATATTATAACATGTATAATAATAATAAAAATGTACAGGATGACCCAGGTTTACCCGATGAATTGTGGGAGGATATTCTACAAGTGAAAATAAGAAAAAATATTATATGAAGTTTGGTTAGAGAAATGCTTTAATTACAAAGTTATAAGCAAATATTGAAACGGAACATGAAATAGGTAACCACGGATTTTCCATTGTGCAGAGTATGAAACGTCGAACGTGTTTAATGCAGAATATGAAAGGTCGAACGTGTTTATCTTATTTGTGTATTCATATCGTGTTTACTATTTTTAAAAGATTCAATATTGCTACTTTTACATCAATAGTTGTTAGATTTCAATCGTGTGAATTAGCAATTACTATCAAAATGCCAAATCTGTTTTCAAATGAGGAATACACTGATTCTGCACAATGGAAAATCCGTTGTTACCTATTTCATGTTCCATTTCAATATTTGGTTATAACTTTGTAATAAAGCATTTCTAGCCAAATTTCATATATTTTTTTCTTATTTCTACTTGTAGAATATCCTCCCGCAGTTTGTCGGGTAAACCCTGGGACATCTTGTATATGCATATATAAAGATCCAAAGATTTTTAAAAAGTAAACAATTATCTTGATACATATTCTTGACCATAAAAGATCAATATTTTCAGCTCACAATGCCAAATCAAAGATAACTTTATATCATTGATGAGACTTACTAGCTAAGAATTGCGCTGAATTTAAAGAAAAGAAATAAAATAGAAATTATAATAAATTTTTGAAAAAATAGTATTTATTCCCAATGTAGGACATATCTCTTCTATGTAGGTATAGTTTAACTAAGATATATTTTCATGTACAGATATGAAACAATGCAATCTTAATAAAATGAATGAACTTTTTTATAAAATAATTCAGAAACACTTAAACCAGCTATATCACTTATTTGAAATTTCCAATTTTGATTTAATTATATTTTATATACATTTTACCTCTCTCTCTCTCTTAGCTATAGATTTTATATACAATCATTTAAATCTCAATACTATCCACAATATGAAAAATACTGCTATAGAAAAAAGAAACAAGTACAAGATATAGTAATTATAGCCTGCTTTTGCTAGACGCAAAATACGTGCTACAGAACCTGATAAGGAACCACTCGTCCTTTCAAAATCATCATCCTGAAATAAATTTTATTTTTTAAATTAAAAACTAAATTTTAAAAAGATCGTGAATATGTGTCTTGAAAAAGACAATCAACTAACCATGCTTCTCAATATTTTGTCTTGATATTTTACTTCAGTACCAATATCAATAGACAAAGATTTTAAAGCGTGAATTTTGTCCTCTAGCTCTTCCGTCATTCTTTCATTTTCATCTTCCATGGCATTGTGGGTAGATGTACTTGATAATGGATTGTAGCCATTACCTCCTGGAAAAATAACAATTACATGTAAAATAAGATTTTATCTATATATTTATTTATACATTTGCATATTTATCTATACATTTGCATTAAAAGATATATGATCAAAACTTACCAGAATGAGAACGTCGCATATTGTTACCAGTCTTGATCATCAATGTAATAATCCTAATTATATACAAATATACAATATTTTATTATCTTTCTTTTTTCGTTCTCTTTTAATAGGACTTAAATGTCATTTAGGTGGCTAATGGCCTGTATTTGACAGAAATTGACGGCAATTACAGTATTATCAGCCATTATATGTATATATAAATAATAAATAATGCTGAGAGTGCCACTTTCTTCTTCTTCTTCTTCTTATCTGTGTGACTGATTAGGCTTCCCAATCGAATATGCCTATACGCTAGTTGGTGTGTAGAGTGCCACTTTGGAACTTAGAGCACAGACTTCTATATATTTAGACCGCTAACTCCTACGAAATACATGGCCCCGAAAAGTATGTACACAACACATGCGCACACAGCACACACAAACAAAAACACTTTTTGTTACACATCGGCCATATTACATATCTAGAGATCCTTAAAGCCCGTATCAGACTACGCATTGAAGATTGAGATTGAAGATTGAAGATTTGGAATTTGACTAATCAGAACAAAAGGAACTAAAATTTCTTTGTCCTGATTTTTCAAATTTCAATCTTCAATCTTCAATCTCAATCTTCAATGCGTAGTCTGATACGGGCTTTAA